AATCTAAACAATGAGAAGTAATAAATAATTATACTTTTAAAAAATCAAATCGTAAACCTATGTAATTAAACGTAATAAATGATGCGTATTAACTTAGAAATTTAAATCCATTTTGACTTTTTTAACTAAATATCTTTTTATAAGTTTTTGGTGTCAAATATTTATAAAAGAAAAAAATAACTTACAGATGATTGTTCTTGATAAGATTCGGTTAGACTAGGGGATGAATCCTGGTACGACTTCAAGAAAAAAAAACCTAAATATCAGTTGGTGGGACCCATACATAGGAAAGACAACAGCATAAAAGGACCAAACTCGCTTGAACTTAGACAACATTCTGGTTCTGTCCACTGAATCCTTGATTTTCTGTGAAGAGCAATGGCCACATTGTAAGAAAGCTCTCCATTCTCTATATTCTGTTACCTTCTTGTTCCAAAACTACCCTCTTTTTTGATGCGCTCTCTCTCTCTCTCTCTCTGTAACTTTCACAGTGGCGCGCAAGGTGTTCGTCCTCCTCCATTGACATCCACCTCCGATCAACCTCCTCTTTTTGATGGCACCACCAGGTTCTCCAAAATTCACTTTCTCTTTCATGTTTTTTGCTTCAATTTTCAGATGTCCAAGTCCTTACTTTTTTACCATTCCTTAGGTTGTACACCAGTTATGGTTGCCCCTATGCACAACGTGTATGGATCACTAGGAACTACAAGGTTCTTTCTTCAATTTTCCTCTGTCTACAATATTCTAGTCATACATTTAATTCTCATGCTGGTAACTGACACCATAGGGGCTACAAGACAAGATCCATTTGGTCCCTATAAACCTTCAAGACAGGCCAGCTTGGTATAAGGAGAAAGTCTACCCTGAAAATAAGGTAAGTAACTTACACAAATGAGGGTAATTAAAGGGTTATATTTTGCTATGTTGATTTGGTTTGTTTAGCAAGTTGAATTTGTTTCCCTAAAATATGATTTATTTGTAGGTGCCATCATTGGAGCACAATGGCAAGGTTCTGGGAGAAAGTCTTGATTTGATCAAGTATGTAGATGTCAACTTTGAAGGGACACCTTTGTTTCCCACTGTAAGAACTAAGCACTGCACATTACTTCTGTTTTTTCCCTTAATGGCCTTTTCATCTTTTCTTAGTTGTTGGAGTAGATTAACAATGTTAAGTTGAAATTATTTTAGGATCCTGCCAAGAAAGAGTTCGGTGAGCAACTGATATCCCATGTTGATACATTCACCAGAGACCTGTTCGTTTCATTGAAAGGAGATGCTGTACAAGAAACCAGTAAGCGCGATATTCAAGTTTGTAAATAGAGGAAAGTTTTCTTTTCCTTCATTCTTTGGTCCTTAAAATGGTGATTTAAACCAGGTTCTGCTTTTGGATACTTGGAGAATGCTCTTGGTAAATTTGATGATGGGCCATTCTTGCTTGGTCAGTTAAGTTTGGTAAGTTGAAATCAACTCAGTGATCTTCAGTTTTCATTTTCCTTGTAAAGTTGTTGTTTTCTGAACAATCACCGATTCTTGTGGTGGTTGTTAGGGAGTGGAAAGTCTACGAGAGGAGAAGGAAGAGTTAATGTCCTAACTGTTTTAGCAGTTAGGAGAGGCAGGAAGTTAAGATTTGTATAAATAGAATTCGATACTTTGTTTTAGGGGTTGGAGAGTAATAGTTTGTATAGACAGGACACATTGAACTGAGGAGGGGGATTAGGCTCCCGTTTATAGTTTACGTTCTTGATTGTTAGAGTTGAGTGACTGTTTTAGGTAGGTTTCATACCGAGAAACCTATCAATTCGTCCGACCTGCCTGATCCAATTGGGAGAGAAAGGTGCAACGGAGGGGAGAATCGACGGACGATTAAATGTAGTAGAGGGTCAAGTGGAAGCCATGGAAATTGCAGTGGACAGAATGAAGGCGGAGACAGCAGCGCTGCGTCAAGACTCTGCAGCGATACGCCAAGATTTGCAAGAAGTCATGCAAATTCTGGGCGAACGGAAACGAAACCAGGAGGGACACTCGGATGGGAGTCAAACGTCTGTTAACGAGAACCGGCGGGGTAGACGAGAAGAAGATGATGGAGGGAGAGAAGTCGAATGCCAGGATGGGCAACTCAATTGGAGGTGTTAGATATATTATATCTTTTATCTTTTAATTAGTTTGTTATTATTTCTCATTTGTATTTTGGGCTTAGCCCATATTTCTTCTATTATAAATAGAGAACCCTATGTGTGTATTTTACACAAGGGAGATTAATCTAAATATAGTTTTTCACTGAATTCAACATGGTATCAGAGCAGGATCTCTGATCTCTTCTCGTGACCTCTGCTGTCTGCCGGCGGCCGGCAGCCCCTAAAATTTCAGTGGACAGCCCTTTCTTTTCTTCTTAAATCTGTGCCACAGTCAATACCAGTGCAGCCAGTCGCCTCTGTCGTCGACCATCGCCTCAGTTTGGATTCCCAAGATCATAGCAGAGTTCCATATGACCAGCACAGGAGGACATTCGGGTGTGTATAGAACTTACCACAAGGTTGCCCAGTCATTGTATTGGATAGGCATGAAAAAGTCAATCACTGACATTGTGGCTGGTTGTTTGATATGCCAACAACATAAATACTTGGCATCCTCTCCTCAAGGGCTGTTACAACCCTTACCCATACCTCACTCTATCTGGGAAGAAGCGAGTATGAATTTTATAGTCAAACTGCCTAAATGACAAGGGTATGATGCTGTGCTGGTAGTTGTAGATCGCCTCAGCAATTATTGTCATTTCTTACCTTTGAAACACCCTTATTCAGCACGCACCATAGTAGAAGTGTTTGTTAGGGAGATAGTTCGGCTACATGGAGTGCCAGTCTCCATTGTTAGTGATCGGGACCCATTATTTCTAAGCGTTTTTTGGAAAGTTCTTTTTAAGATGCAGGGGACATAGTTGAAGATGAGTACTGCCTATCACCCTGAAACATATGGGTAGGCTGAAGTTTTAAACAAGATATTGGAGGGTTATCTGAGGTGTTTTTGCTCGGAGCAACCAAAAAGCTGGAGCTCGGTACTCCCTTGGGCTGAGTATTGGTATAATACTAGCGCTGCGAAATGCACTCCTTTCGAAACAGTTTATGGCAGAGCTCCTCCTTTCATAAACCGGTTCATTCCAGAGGAAACTCCTGTGGAAGCTATAGCCCAAGAGTTGCAAATGCGTGATGAGGCCCTTAAGCAGCTCAAATTCCATTTGACCCGAGCCCAGGACTTGATGGCAAGATACGCGAACTGAAAGATGAAACAAACAGAGATTAAAGTTCATGATTGGGTATAGTTAAAGATTAGACCCCATAGACAGACTTCTATGCCTTCTAGACTGCATCCAAAACTTGCAGCAAGATTTTTGGGCCATTCCAAGTCATACAACAAGTAGGGGAGGTTGTGTTTGAACTCAAATTACCAGACACAGCCAGGATCCATCCAGTGTTTCATGTGTCTCAACTAAAGAGGGCAGTAGGTGCAAAGAATGTGGAAAAGGAACTGCCATCGGACCTGCAGGCGGATGGGCCAACATTTTGGCCCCTTAGAATTTTGGATAGGAGGCAGACGCAGCAAGGGAAGGAAATGGTACAACAGATATTGATTGAATAGTATGAGAAATAGAGAAGATTGGGAGAGAATATCCCTTGTGTGTGTTGCATACACATAGGGGTAATTTATTTATATTTAAGATAGGGCCATGCCCTTAATACATAATAGACTAATCCCAATAACAGAAACACACATCTTAACATCTAACACTAACACTCCCCTCAAGCTGGAGCATACTAAATCTATGTTCCAAGCTTGTTACAAAGATAATCAATTCCTAGGGTCCTGTAAGGGACTTAGTGAATATGTCTGCCAACTGGTTGCTTGAGTTACCAACTCAGTCTGATATCTCCGGATATGATTTTTTCTCGAATGAATGGACAATCACTTCATGTTTTGGGTTCTCTCATGGAAGACAGGGTTAGAGCTAATATGGAGAGCACGTGATTATCACATTAGTATCATGTGAGTGACAAATCTCCAAATTTCAATTCCACTAAGCATTGGTTTACGCACACAAGCTCGCAAGTAGCTGATGCCAATAAGCCTCTATATTCTGCTTCTGCCTAGACCTTGCCACAACACTTTGCTGCTACTTTTCCAAGATATCAGGTTTGCTACCAATAGAGACACAATATCCAGAAGTAGAACCGCCTATCAGAAGGTGAACCCAGCCCAATCAGCATCTGAATAACAACCAATTTTTTTGTATCGTTTTAGGGCCATATAATCAAAAAACCTTTTCCAGGTGATCTTTAATATACTTCAGTATGCGAACACCCTGCCTCCCAATGGTCTTCACCTGGGAGTTTTAGAATTGACTCACCACCTACTGCGAAGAAATGTCAGAACGCGTAACATGTAGATAGTTTAATTTACCTACCAACTAGTCTTCTCTTTAACCGGTTCAGGATCTAAAAGGCTCCCCCTGATTTGGGAGAGTTTGATGTTAAGGGTCCATAGGTGGTCTCAACAGATTTACAATTCATTAACCCTGTTTCCTCCAAGATGTCTAACGCATACTTCTCTGAGATATGACATACCAATCATTGGATTGTGCTACTTTCCCTACCCCAAACAGGTACCCGGAGTTTTTGCCAAGATCTTGGTTTGAAAAATGATGACAAAGGTGTTGTTTCATCCCCCCCGAGAGATTGGCCAAGATAGTCGCTTCCTGTGAGAACAATATCATCGCCATACACTATTAGATAGATCATCCAGCACTCGATTGGCGATAGAAACACCGATGATCGCTCACTAATTCATTCACTTCTACAATACCAAATTGTTATGAACAACACACCTTGAATTTACCCAAACCAGGCCCGAAGGATACTGTTTTTAGGCCATATAAAGGATTTGCGAAGACGACATACCAATCCAGATGACTCCCCCTGGCACCAAGCAGGCGGTTGCTCCATCATAACTTTCTCAATGCAAATCCAATCACCATTGGATGAAAGCATTTTTGACATCAAGTTGTGAAGAGGCCATTTGGCGAAGGGGGGCGGCCTGGCATGAAGAGTCGAACAGAGGTCATGTTTGCCACGGAGAAAAGTATCACCATATCCAACCAAAAATCTGTTGTGTAGTCTTTGGCACCCAGTCCGAGCTTTCAGACTATCAATCGTGCCAGCGGACAACCTTGATAGCATACACCCACCTGCAACCACAACAGAACTTTCCAGATGGTAATTGGACCAGCTCCAAGTTCCACTTTCCTGTAAACACTTAATTCATCCATCATAGCTTGAGACTCAACCAGGATGAGTTAAGGCATCACTCACGATTTGGGATTGGAACAACAGAAGAAATTGATGAAACAAGTATAAAAGATGGAGATAATCTTTGTAATTAGAACAGTATAAGGGTGGGAAGGGTTACGGGTAGAGCGTATACCTTACGGAGGGCATAGGCAAGTCAACTCAGTTGCTGGAGCCGGAGGAGACACATGGAGGCCGTCACCGGAGTGAGTCATGAGGGAGAACGATTACGGCGACTATAAACCTTAAGGGGTGGAGGTGAGGATGATCCTGGTGAGGAGAAGTCTAAAGAAGGAGAAGACAAATGGTGGAAGCATCACCATGAGGACACATATAAGAGGAATATCAACAGTAACAGGGAGAGGTACGACTAGAAGATAGATGTGAAAAGTAAAAAGACGACTCATCAAAATGACATCAGCGAGATAAAATGACGATTTGAGGGAAGGGGAAAAACACTTTATAGCCTTTTGTGACCGTGGAAATCCTAAAAGACACATTTGTGAGACCGAGGAGATAACTTAATCAAGACCAGGACTAAATCAATGAACAAAACATTAGAGACCCAAAAACCGAAGAGGTAATGGATGCAAGAGGGTCTTGAGGAAATAATATAGAATGAGGGATTTTGTTATCTAGGACGGAAGATGGCAAATGCGGTTGATAGCTAACATGCTGTGATAACTGCATCACCCAAAAACGGGAGGTACTTACCATGAATAAGAAGTGGTACGGTTGTTTCAATCAGGTTGTCTATTGTCTTGCGCTCAGCCACCCCATTTTGTTGAGGGGTATAAGGCACATGAGGTTTTGTGGAATAATGCCATGAGAAGCCATAAACTGTTTAAAAAACGGTTAGAAAAGGTATTCACGGCCATTATCACTACGTAAATTCGAATAGAAACCCAAACGGTTGTTTTTATTTCATTGAAAAAAGATTGAAAAATAGAGAAATCAACTCAGAACGATGCTTCATTAAAAATAACCAAGTACATCTGGAATCGTCATCAATAAAGGTAACAAAATACTGAAACCTAAATGGACTACCACGACTAGGTCCCAATGTCAGATGAACCAATGAAAAAGGATGACGACGCCGTTGTGAGACACTACGAGGAAAGGAACTACGAGTATTTCCCTAACTGACAAGAATCACACGA